ATATATATATATATGTATATGGAATCTAGGGTTGCTGAGTTAGCATATGATTTGCCCCAGGGTAGCTTTATGAAACCAAGTTCGGTCGTAAGTATGAACTATATACCTACACGATTCCTTTGCGCACACGTGTTTATCAGACCTGCCCTTCTCTTATGCCCAACATGGACACCAAACCCGGAACCCTAAACCCTAAACCCCAAACACCAAACCTTTACCTGCGGTCCCTAAGGGCTCGCCCGATTTGATAAATTTGTCCAATAATACCACACAGATATGTGTTCCCGAAATACCTATACAGGACCAAGTTTGGGTCAAGGGTCTCGAGTTTGAACGGGGTCACATATACTTAGATGTATTCGGGCCTAAATGTACTTGGACCCGTAGGCATGTAGCATATACGTAAGGCCCAACGGGCTCCTGCGTAATTACCTGGAGTCCAAGTACACACAACCTTAAGCCCTAATCTAGAACTATCTGGATATAAATATATATATATATATGCGTGGACCCTTGGGGGTGCTATACTTAACCGATACATCTCGGATCCAGAGCTTTCGTTATCTAATGCTTAAGCTGCGTTCCCAAATCCAAGCGTCCCTAAGTATCTTTCAGGGTATCTTACCGGGTCCATGTACCCAATAATTAGGCACTAGGGTTTTGGGTAATAGTAATTATGGTACAGATTTTGGGTAAGTATATGATTATTAGGTACTTGGACCCTCAGGGTTAGGGCACCGGGAAGACTAACCCAAATCGTACTACCAACCCCACTTTACGTTATCTGGGTGCTGACCATCCTTTGCGAAAGCAAGCCCCAACCCCAGCAAATTTACCCCCAAGTGCTAAACGTGGGAAGGCCTACTGGTCCTACCTAGACGAGACAGCAGCCGAGCTCCATGGAAATCCTGTGAAATTTGGGACACGTTTGTGTTTTCAAGGGTTTAGGGTTCGGCGATTCTGGGTTAAGGAATCCTACGTGGGGACTTTAAAGGGATATATATGGTTATATAGGGTAATATATTGGGGTTATATAGGGATAATGGAAAAGAAAATGGAAACTTCTATAGGGGGCAGTGATGAGGGCTTCAGGATTGTAAGGCCGGACTTGCACAAACCCTACTTGATCGTAGTGTACCTGGACCCCCAAAGTATGTAGAATAATGGCCCTTTGGGCTGTATTTGGGAGTTTTGGGCCATTATTTTACCTACTTTGGGGGTTTAGGTACCTTTCAGTGGATCCTTCAGGGACTTATGCTGCATTCAAGCCGGGTACGCGAGAAGTCCAAGCGGAATGATCAGTGTCGGGAACAGTCTATCCCTCTGACAGAGCTTAATACTCCTTGTAGGGCCCAGATGGGGTTCCCTTAGGGTTTAGGACTTTTGTTGTCACATGGGTTGCCAACATCAACAATGATCAATCACCATACCCAGTGCCACCCTACACCATCAAATTTAAAGCCCCAAATCATGAACAGTGTAGCTAACGACCAGCCGCACGTGCGTGGGACGATGGGTTGATCCTTCTGCACTTTCAACCCTACTCAGACCCCTTTTAAGGATTCCACATTGGACTCCTCCCCCAAAATGGCTCCATTACTACATCGGGGAACCTAGGGATTATTGAGGGCTTCAGTTTTGCGATCCTTTAGAGGGTCTGGGTATGCGCTACCTACAACTCTGAACCTTGCTTTTGATTCTCCCAAGCCCTAGGTAGGTTTTGGCGGCCTGGGCCAGACTTAAAATAGCTGCAGTTCTGCTGCCTCTGAGCCATGCTGCTCCATAGCAGGTATCAGAAGGTTGATTCTGGTGTTTTCTTCTGATGTCTACTCTTGTCCCGCAAGTGAAGAGGGGATGTTGAACTCCTGGGGTCGGACCTACTTTTTCACGATTCGCTCTAAAGGGGGGCAAACCCGAACCCCAAACCGGCTGATTCATCCTTATGGAGCTGAAGGGCTGCCCCCACTTGGAGGTTCATGTGAGAAAGTAAGTACTTGCAACTTGTTTCTAGACCCTTAAGGGCACTGAAGGAAACTCTAGATGGGGTTATAGCCCACTAAAGGGAGTTTCCAAGTCCCGTGAACTTCTATGCAAAGTTTACCCCAAGGATCCAAGCGCCCATCTAGTATATGCTCTGTGCCCAAGCGGATGCCTGTGCAGGAATTTGGGGCAAGCTATCTAGTACTTAGGTACTTGGACCCATAGGGCTCAGGATTTTCGAAGTTTCCATTGAGCTCTCTTGAAACGGACCTCGACGATTCATAGGACATGCCCTGAGCCCCATGTCGGCAAGGGCCGCAGCCAGATTGTGTACATCAAATGCCGGCCAGGTGAATATAAGCCCAAGCACTGAAGACCAGAAACCCCACACGGCCAGCTCATTGAGGTAGATGCGGCCAAGGGGCATTTTCCGCATCTACAACCCTCGGCGTTTGTGGCTGGGGCTTGAGATACAATCCTACCCTTCCATTAAAGGCCTTACATGGAAGGCCTTTTGTGTTTTGAAAGTAGGATATGAGAACCCCTTTGGCCCTAAGTATATAGCATGTACCTACATGGACTGTTGGTTTGGGTAATTACGGCCTAAACCCAGCTTGGGTCCTAGTGCAGTGTTGGAGTTTTGGAGTTGGTGGGGATCAGGCTAGGGGTTGCAGCTCATCGCCACGGTGCCATCATGGACCTCAAAAAACGCGGATTTAGTGTTTAGAGATTAGTGTTGGACATGGATATTTACCAATATTATGGTCCTAGGTTCCTTATATGATTATGGTGTAGAGCATCTCAAGTAGACCAAACTGATATTGGTAAATAGTTTGGCCCCTTTGTTGTAATGGTTCTTTCTCCCCATCAGCCTATGCTTCTTCGCCTGAAACTACATTCGAGCATATTCGAGCTGTTTGCCAGGTACCCAACCAGAGTAAGGCGACGAACATAACTTACGACTGACACCCAAGTCATGACTTCTGCGGTCTTGCGTTTAGGGCTTATAGGGCTTAGCATCCGGAAACCTCTGGGTACTGTACCCCAAGTCCTAATCTTACCTCTACAATGGGCAACCTGTAGCCATTCAGCGTAACACGAGACACCTGAGAACTTCCTAGACCCCAAACCTACCAGGGAATTGTGAAACTTATGGAACCTAGAGGTGCTAGCCGGGAGGTGCTATGTAGTTCCCTTTCGTTTCCTATGGCTTTTGTTAGCATATCAGGATATATTCATAGGACTTGCATGCAGGTGGAGTTACTGTTGGAGGTGTCTGAAGACACCTAGCTGCATCTCAGCAACGATCTTTAACGCGGATGTGGGTTGTAGGGCTTCAGGATCACCATAGGCTTCCCAAGTGCCCATGTAAGACTGCCATTGTCGTCCTGGCCTTGAACGTCATTTCGTGACAGGCCTTTATGAGGTTTGGGTCCTGAATTTGCTTTTGAAAGCTTCGAGTGTGGTGGGAACGAAGAATCGCTTCGAGGTTCCTTTCTCAGGATCAGGGCACAGTTTCTGATGCTACCCTCTATAGGCGCTCAGGTACCTAATATCCATAAGTCCTAGGGAACAAGGCTCCGCTACTTTCAGCTGCTGTTAATTCGGGGACAGGGATGCTATGTGCCTTCCTGCTACGGACAGGCAAGCATACTATGAGAGGTCTATGCAGGATACAGTTACCTTGTCCTACAATAGTCGATCTGCACTCAGACAAAAGCATTAATGAAGGCAGGACTACCACACAACATTCTCTAGCACTGCTTGGTAGGCTTTCTAGGAATCAGTGTTGCAGAGTGCACGCGTTCGCTGCCACATTTTTCTCCACTCTGACCTACGGACAGACCCCCATCGCAAATAAGCCTTAGCCTGACACTCCCTCAAAATGATATTAATCAGAGGTGTATCGTTGTGTGCACTTCTATTGCTGGAGGATGAGCCACCATCGCGAAACAACCTGTATAGGGAGTAATATACACTACCCCTTCTTTGGGGCAATATGAGGTTCCAAGAAACTTGGTAGGACTTTATTACAACTTCAGCACTTGAACGCTGTTTGGGGCTGCTTTTTCGTGTTAAGAGAGCTCGATATCATAGCTGTAGTTTGGTAGGTAAAGAGCACTTGCGGGCCGCTAACCCGGAAGAAGCAGGCCATGGATTCATCCACAGTCATCCTTGTATAAGTCTAGGAAGGCATAATCCAAAGCCCAGTTCTAATTAGTTCGACCTCGGCATTATTCCCAAACCCTAAAAATTACAAAAACCCTAAACCCTTAAACCCTGGAAAAGAACCCTTAAACCCTAAACCCTAGGCACCACAGTCTGGAAGCCAAGTCCTTACTACCAACATCCTACTGATCCATAGGTCCAGGACTGAATCCCTACACCCTCACTGGTGTAAACTTAGGCTTTATGGTTTAGGGTTTAGGGTTTAGGGCTTATAGAGCATGTAAAAGGACCCCTTGAGGTGGTTATGCGAATAGATTGGGTTCAGGATTTGGGGGGCTGAGGGCTTGCTAGAGCAGCTTATACCCTAAAAAGGATAGCGATACCAAAGCATTGGGCGCAAAAGCCCTTTTCATAGTCTAGGAAGGCTCCAGAGTAACACGTCAAGGCTGACAAATCCGTGTACAGCAACATGTTTTCTGTTATGTTTTGCGCGTTTCTGGTCAGGGTGTCGCCTCAAGCATCCAAGGATCAAATTCAGGTGCTGAGGATCAGTGAGACTCTGCTATCCGGTGCCTAAAAGCATCATATTCGAGTTCTGGACCCATATAAGGCCTTAGAAACAGCGATGCGTACCTAAGCTTACCCTAAGCCGGAAACCGAGAAGCCTAAACCCTGAACCCTAAAACAACCAATGCCTGGGTGGCTCAACACTACAAGCCCGAGAAACGCCTATCTAGCACCAGTTTCCATGTCATGTTCCATGCTATTCTTCATTTGAGGCTCCATGGTCGAGGTAGAATATATCGCTAGATATTCCTCTATACCCCAATGTGGTCGGTATATCCCCTTTAAAGGCATTAATTTTGGCTGAAGGCACTATCCTCGCATGGCACTGAGATTGCGCAGTGCTTCCGCGATTGGCGTTCCTCAGCCCGCAAAAAGGAATCCCAAGAATCTATCTGAGCTCCTCAAAAGGGGGGGGTATATAGGGGACCATAGGGGACAATCATGGAGAATCGAATGGAATAGAAAAAGAACAAGGAAGATGAAATGGAAACCGTCATATATATATATAGGGTTTACGATTCATCTGAGCTCTAGCCTAAACTCCTTCAAGGGTGTTATATAAGGGATTACATAGGGGAGCATTCTGGGAGTTACTAAGGGGATGCAGGGAGTTTAGACTATAGTTCATCTAAGGGAGGTAGTAGGGGTCTAACAGCATTTAGGGGCTATGCAGGGGATATAAGGGTTATACAGGCTTCAGGAATTAGGTAGTACTTATATGAGGGTTTATGAAATGTCAGATTCAGGTTCCTTTTTGAAGGTCCTTCTAGTAAGGATAAGAGTTATTTAGGGTGTCTCTAATGGGGCCCCATCTTTATGCATATCTGGCATAAAGTGGGGGGTTCTATATTGCAAGTAGGAGGTAGTACTGGGACTCTTAGATAATAACACCTTCTAGGCTTTTTAGGGGCTTTATAGGAAGACAGGCTTCAGAGTTTAGGGTACCTGTACCGCCTTGCACTACACTCTACCCAACCACAACCCGCCTCTTTTGACGACTGTCCTGAATCAGAGACCCTTCCCATAATCTTTCATGCATCGGCCTGAACCCGGAGAGCCAAAGACACCTTAAAACAGGAATATGCCCTCAAGTATACTACGACCCCTGATGTGGTCTAAGGTATATATTCTTGAATACAGAAACATCTGGTCCCTTGGGAATCCAAGTACACCTGACCATGATTGCAGAAACGACCATGCTTCCCTACAATGTCCATTTTTGACTTTGACAGCTGGACTATGCGGTCAAAGGAGGCGCCTTAAAGAACTCCAAACCCTAAACCCCTCACCCTAAACCCTAAACCCCTCAACCCTAAACCCCTAAACCCTAAACCCCCTAACTCCTAAACCCTAAAGGTTGCAATCCCCAACCCAGCAGGTCAAAAACGCCTGGCCCAGCCTCGGTGCGGGGCTGTCATCTTGGACGAGTCGTAGCTTGGCAAAGCCGGGCGATCCTTTGAAAAGCCTAGGGTTTAGGGTTTTAGGGTTTTAGGGTTTGGGGTTTAGGGATCTAGGGGTTGGGGTTTTCGGGGTTTAGGGGTTAGGGTTTAGGGGTTACGGGCTATGGGGTTTAGGGTTTAGGGGGTTTAGGGGGCCTAGGGGTTTAGGGTTTAGGGCTTAAGGGGTTAGGATTTAAGGATTAGGGTTTAGGGATTTAGGGATTAGGGTTTAGGGATTAGGGTGTAGGAATTTAGGGATTAGGGTTTAGGGATTAGGGATATAGGGTTTTAGGGATTTAGGGATTTAGGGTTGA